TTTGAGTCGAGTCTAAAAATATATACAATTATCATTTTTTTATTTATTATTTATAATAGATACATAATAATCGTTGAAGAGGATACGGTCAAAAACATTGAATACGTATTATCATATTATCTGCAAAGCGCTATTTGTTTTCTAACAGCTAACAATAATTCTTAGTTGAATTAATTACGTCTTGAATTAAAACGTCCGTAGATAGTGTACAAAACTATTAAGAGGCAAAATATATTTCTTAGTTTGTGAAAATGTACGACTATGTAAAAATTTAATCCAGTAATTACAATTGAAATTTTTTTCAAGTGACAAACTGGCAAACAATCTGGCGGTTCACCTGATGTTAAGTGATAACCGCCTCCCATGAACATTTGCTACACCGTAGGGTTGCAGAAGCGTGATTGGGCATGTCTTTTATTCACCCAACCCAATGATATTTTGAACTACAAATATGTTTCTTTCGTTTTCGCGGCAAACAAAGAGGCAGCAAATCTTATCCTTTAAACGAGCAATTCTTGTATATATGTATATATAATAATTATATATAATCGGAAACGGCTCCAGCGATTTTCATGAAATTTAATATGTAGGCGTAGGGCTCTATGTCCTTTTATCCCTGTGCAGGGAATAAAAATATCATTCGAACATGACGGTAAATTTCGTCGCAAAAAAATGTTATTATAGCTTTACACACTAAATTTTTTTTTCTATACCAGATCATTGCTTTCTTTATATTTTATTTTATTATTTCCTAAATACATAATTTACAAAAAAAAAACCGAGCAAAGCTCGGTCCTCCAGATACTCAGAAAATTCAGCTATTAATGCATTGAAAAATCCTCCAATTATTACGCCTTTTTTATACATATAAAGGTGAGAATATGTACTGAAAACCAACGGTGAATAGCCAAATATATAATTAAAAAGTATAATATTTCTACAGTGTAAAATATCTTCATTTTAAATGACATTGCAATTCTGTAAAACAAGTGTATTGAAGTACACTTCCTACATTATTTTATAACAATAGAGATACAAGGATATTACAGTTTGGCAGTTAGTATCCCTGTTGTAATGTGCATTCTAATTTAAGCAAATTATAGATTTATTGTGGCCATATATTACAAAATTATATATTATAATTCTCATATATTATAAGACCCGAGCTCCACAGAAGAGATGTTAAGTTAACTTGAGCGCTTCCAAACTTTTCTATTCGATTCATCTTTAATCTATGCAAGTACGACCATGCCTCTTCTTACCAGCTCAGTTATCTGTTTAACCCTTCGACGTTTTTTTTATTTGAAAAGTTGCCAAAAGAGCAGACGGTTCAACTGATGTTAAGTGAATAGCGCCGCCCCTGGACATCTGCTAACTACACCCGAGGGTTTGCAGAAGCGTTTACAACCTTTTTGGAAATTGGGCTCCGGCTACCTCAATCACCAGACGAAACGCGAAAATATTATACTTCCACTTGACGCCGGTTTTCTGTGAGGTCGTGGTACTTACGCGGACGAGCCTGCCCATTTGTGCAACAGCCGAGGCTGTTGTGTGGCTCTACTACCGTATACCACTTTCGGCTCCTTCCTATTTTAAAATAATATTTTGAATACCAGTCCAGGGCACCGTTATCTCGCAACTTAATTACCATTGACATTTTCTTCATCCGCAGGGTTGCACATGCGTTGCCACCTTTTAATAAAGTGGGCCCCTGGCTACCTAAATCACAAGACGACAGGCAAACGTATATTCGTTTTACGCAACAGGGAAAACTGTTGCGTGTCCTTAACACACTTAAACCAAACCATACTGTTTTAATGAAGTAAAACTTGAGAATATCATGTGAAGGCATCACACAACTTATAGCTTTTCTTACGAGTGGTTTGTCTCATGGATGTCCATACGACCTAAAGACTTTCACACTATAAGGTGACTTCCCTTAATGGGCAAGGACGAATAATGGATAAGTGTGTGATGAATTAAATGCAGTAGCTTCCTCGAAAGTCTCTTCTTCTCTGTCCCACGAACGAATAGACGGAAAACTGATAATTTGTATCACATTCCAGTTACAAAAACAATCCTTGGCCTACAATTAGATTAATCAGCTAGAAAATACAACTACTTAGTTAAACAAATAGCCGATATGGATATATTTCATTGCAGTCTAAATAGATTAAACGAGCTGCTAACAAAACTATACAGGGAGATTTTTTGAGAAGTGCCCTAATTTACACAGGAGGTTCAGACTCGGTAGTATAGTCGTTTATTGAAATAAAAAACAAAGCTTTTTTTTCCAAAGAAAATGCCATTCTATTCCCTAAAAACAGAACGTGTTGACAATGCGGTAGTCATTTGTAAATAACTCAATTTTACTGTGCACGAACTTGTGTCCGTGTTAGTTATGAATGATCGCGCGTAAAATAAATGAGTTGCATATAAACGACGCACTTTTTGAGATAAGTTCAATGAATGTAATTAACTTACGAGTGATTTTAAATATTTATCATTTTTTATAACATTATTTATGTCTAGAATTTAATAAAAAATGGATACACTTAGAAAAGCCACCCTGTATATGAGTCATTAATTTTATTTGAAAATATTCATAATATTCTTAACTTATACTCGTATTACTAAAACACCCACTTTGTTATTTCATATGTGATCAATGCCTATGTACACTTATTTTCTTGTATAAGTTTTTATAATAAAATTAGCTATGTAAATGTCCAATACATATGATATGGTTGTACTTTAAATAAATAAAACTTTTTTAAGCGCGACTAACGGGTAAAATGCTTCGGACAATGACAATGCAACGGAAACGCATTACGCAAACGCGTTCATAATATAGCATCGAATTTTTAAATATTTACGCTGTAATGTGTAATGGAACTATTCATTTAAAATAAAAAAAATATTAATAATAATAATTTTTTTATGTGAGAAAGTGGCGGTTCTCCTGATGTTAAGTGATAACCGCCTGCCCATGGACATTTGCAGTACCCGTACGGTTGCAAATGCGGTGCCGCGTTTAAATAAAATGGGCTCCGGCTACCTCACTCACCAGACGAAACACAGCAGTGTAACACTTCTACTTTACGCCGGTCTTCTGTGAGGTGGTGGTACTTACCCGGACGCCATATGTGCTACAGTGTTGCGTGGCCCTACCACCGTAGGCCACCTAATTAATTCATTTAAGTATAATATATTATATTATTTGAATTAAATTATTATTAATTATTTTAAAGATTTCTAAGCCTTTACATACGGTGGAAGTGAAACTTACTTCCACCGCATGTAAAGGTTCCTCGAACTCATTTTTTAATAACTTTGAGTATTCGAGAGAGATCTTAAGAGATAGTTGGGTTGTTTGAAGACGAGAAAAAAACAAACGTCAATTTGTGTATATTTATTTAACATTACAATGCCATTTTTAGTTCCAAATAGATAATACCCCTATTTATATGCTCAAACTGAAACTAATCCATAGGCCTCGGATGGAGGCTATTGAGGCGTACAGTACACTCTTATATTACATCTAAATACTATATTGTCTGTAGTTAAATTCCTATACAAGGCCGTATTTGATCTTGCGTTTCTCAATGTTGTGCGGCTGTTACCGGAAGACACAGATATTTGATATGAAACTTAAATAACTACGTAACCACTGAAAAATAGCTGAAATAATGAACAAGATTAACCTTAACAATTTTTGTAATTAAATTCATGTAAATTATTGGCCAAATTAGACAAAATGATGAATAGTTACTGCACCTAATAGAGGTGTACTCAATTTAGATGTTACGTCCGACAAGTATCGGCACTCTAAAAAAACTAGTACTAAATACTTCGTGTGTATGAGAATGTATGGACATATATAAACGACGTATGGTAAGAAGATAAATGAACGGCGATTATACATGGGTATGTAAGGAAGTGGACCTGAGAGGACTTTAGAGAGGTTTGATTTATTAAATACTAACAACTTCACGGGTGTGTGAATTTATGAGTATGTAAGAAGAATGAAGGAAGAGGATGTATGGATGTGTAATAACGGGCGTTCAGAGGGCAACATTACCACTACATAACCTCGTAACAACCTATTTAAAGATAAATAGTTATGTTTATTCAATATATTTTATTCAAAGTTAATTATTAATAGTATGCAAGAAGAATGAAGGAAGAGGATGTATGGACGTGTGGCGGATGAAAACAAACGCGTCTATTGGTCTTGTTCTTAACGTCAATATTGTTCTAATGGTGAAAAGATTGTGTAATTATCTAAAAATCCTTCTGATCAATTTTCAAAAGGTTGTCAACACATCTGTAACCCTCGGGTGTAGCGGATGTCCATGGGTGGAGGTGAACCGTCTGCTCGTTTGGCAACTTTTCACATAAAAAAAAGATCAATACAAATAACAGTGAGCACATTCCTGCGTTTTGGCCTTCCACACATTTCATGCCATAGACGTGTACGAAGGGGAGTTCAGAAGGCAACATCACCACTACATAACCTACCAAGCGTTCCAAATTCAAACTTAGTGTCCATAGCATAAGGAAGATTTTAAAAACCAAGGTGCATTTATAGCAACGATTTGTGGTAGTTACTATATTATAACTAAACGCGCATGGGCCGTTATCTGTCGTTTTATATGCGACGCGACGTATAATACGAGTAAAACTTAAATGCTGAAGTTTTCTCGTACTCTAAATTTGTACTTATTGTAAATTAAAATAAAATCTATGAGGCACTTAATCGCCATATATGTCATATCATGTCAAGACTAGAGAAAAGACTAGAAAGTTTTAGCAAATGAATACAAAAGTACAATCACATTTGGCTTTATTAAGCAATAATACGATTTTATTTTAGTGATATAAGCTAACCTTTCGTCGAGTACGTTTACAATAACCATACGTAATATCTTTTAATAACATTTTTTGATCACGCCTTCATGCACGTCGAGTTAATTGAATCGTTATTTCAATTAATTCTAATTCACTTTTCCCCTTCTATCTTTCTCTTGATAGAAACCACCGGAGCTCGGGATGAGTTTAACGCCCGCTTTGGACTCTCTCTCCGCTGTGTCCTTCGTAGAAGTGGTGGCAGATGGAGAATTCGAATCGCCTTCAAACCGACGCCTGTTAGTTTGACTCAATCTGTGTGGGAAAGATTAATACAATATTGATATTTTTTTTTGTATGCGAAAAGTTGTCAAACGAGCAGACGGTTCACCTGATGTTAAGTGAATACGGCCGCCCATGGACATCTGCCATCACCCGAGGGTTACAGATGCGTTGACAACCTCTTGAAAACTGGGCTCCGGCTACCTCACTCACCGGACGAAACGCGAAAGTATTTGTCATACTTCCACTTTGCCGGTCTTCTGTGAGGTCGTGGTACTTACCCGGACGGGCCTGCCCATTCTTGCAACAGGCGAGGCTGCTGCGGTGCCCTACCACCGTTAAAATATTAACATTAAGTAATGCCTGTGATGCAGCAACGTTTAACACATTTAGTAGGCCCTGCAAATTTAGGGTCCATGGGGGATCGAACCTGGAACATGGAAGCGCAATGGCAGTCGATGAGGTAACATAAACGATCCGTGCACTCGATTCAATCGAGTAAATTGCATGCAAATTGAATAGTAGTACTGTAGTTCTTGTAGAAAGGACACCTACGAACGTCTAGAGGTGATAGTAGATGCCAGATGGAGATGACTCTTCTTATAACAGTATTGAAAGTTTTTATCTAAGGTAGTTTTATTTGAAAAGATGTAAACAGAGCAGAAGCTTACCCTGGTGTTATGTTTCTACCGCATCTAGAACATTGGTGGCAGTGTTTTGACACGATTGTGATATAAGTATTGATATCTTATCCTTTAAAGGAGCAATTGTACATATAATCGGAATCTCGGAAACGGCTCCAGCGATTTTCATGAAATTTAGTATGTGCGTAGATTCGGGGGCGAAAAATCGATCTAGCTAGGTTTCATTTTTTATAAAATGTCCTTTCATCCCTGTTTTCAGGGAATGAAAAATATCATTCGAATATGACGGTAAATTTCGCCGCAAAAAAAATTTTATAACAGCTCGGTCGGTAATCGGGCGGCCCCAATACAGACGGCCGCGGTTCGTATCGCGATAATTTTAACACTTATTTTTTTTACTTTTTTTCTATACCAAATCATTTTCTTTATTTTTTATTTTTTTTTTATTTCCAAAATACATGATTTACCAAAAAAAAACCGAGCAAAGCTCGGTCCTCCAGGTACTGATATCGATATAAGTAAGTATTGAACGGCGTTCTATTTGAATATCTATATTTTTGATTTTGATTTTGATTTATAACACTGCCACTTCACGGCGGTATTGGCCGTGGCACTAGCCCGAACTTGACTCCCCATTCGTGCAACAGAGGCCGCGTTTCTGCCACAGTGGCGACAGCGCGATGGCAGGCTACTCACCCAGCTTCTTCAGCATCAGCCACCTTGTCGATGAGGCTCTTTATGATGCCCTCCTTGTATTGCAGCTCGATGGAGGCCCGCTCCAGCCGCCGCCGGTAGTCGGCCTGGACCGCAGCGGCACGGCGCTCCTGCTCCAGTATCCGCTTCTCCAACTCCTCGAGGGAGGTGTACGCGCGGGACCTCACCACCTGAGCGAGGATCGATGACGAATAAAATAACCGTGCTAGGGCCACGCAACAGTGTTCACTGGTGCACTAATGGGCAGGTCCGTCCGGGTGCGTAACGCTACCTCACAGAAGACCGGCATGAAGTGCCTTCTTAGAAGACTTCTGCCATTCGTCCGGTGAGTGAGGTAGCCGTGGGCGGCCGGTTATCATTTAATATCAATGAACCGCCAGGTCGTTTGCCACCTTCTCACATAAAAATTGATTGATCGAATCGTTCAAAAACAAAATAAAGCCCTCGCCACTGTATAGCGTACTAGTGTATAACGCTTGACATTACGTGAAATGCAAGATCCAAAAATGCCTCCGACGAGCTGTACGAGCTCCGCACAGTCAGAACACTAAAGCTATTAGGTGTACACGCACCTTTATACGCACTTGATACAGAGACAACAGGATGTAAACTCAAAGTTAAAGAGTCGGTGTGCACTCACCTTTATCTCCTGCTTGATATTGTCCAGCGCTTGAAGCGCGTGACGCAGCGGCTCCCTTCGAGCGCGGGCCGTCCGCGCCGTTCGCCGTGCGCGCGACGCCTCAGCGCTTGCCGCTCGCGCGCGCTGCCTGAATATCACCGCCGCGCGCCGGTACAGCCTGCCGGTGCCACAGTCTGTACACGCCCTTACATACTGTCTGATCAAGCGACCTATACTAAAGCCAAATTTACACCGGTCAACGTGTTTAGTACAGTTATAAATAGAAACATTTTTACAGAACGTTCTCTAGTCCCAAACAAAGCAACGCTTATATCATGGGTTGTAGATAAACATACTCAAACATACTTTTTTTGTATATAAACACCCAGACACTAGAAAAACACTATGTTCATCATGTTTTTCCAGTAATGGGGATCGAACCCACACCACCCCACCCACGACGCCATTCGGATCGTTACAGTAGACAAATGCAGCATGGAAGTACAGTAGGATAAACCGTCGGACAGTGACGAGGCAACTTGGCTTGCAAGCTTCCTTGCAACTTGACCGAAATAGAATCGCTTTCTATTTTTCGGTGCAAGTGCTAACCTCGCGCGCCCGCTCAACTTGACTCGTCACTTGCCGTAGTGTAAACATTCAAATTAGTACAGTGGCCGGCAAAAGGCAACAAAGTTGCACGTATTGCTCTCCGTATCAACAGAGAAATGCCATTGTACTTGCTGTAGTGTAAACAGCATCTTAGACGGATGGGCATCCAAGAGGCTGTATACACTGGCCAATGTATTGTACTCGCCACTAGCTACTGTCCTTGACCAATGTAAATCAGGCTAAATGTCAAACCCTCGCTGCCCGCTGGGTAATAAAATCGCGGTTTAGGAAAGAAGAAAGGTTAGAAGGCGGTCAGCTAAAAATAATATTTAGCTGACCGCCTTCTAACCTTAAAAATCTATCTCCGAGTTTCTTATTAAGAAAAAAAAATCACCGACACCATAAATATTACATAGAATTAAAATAAATAATTAAAACGATCTGTTTATTACTGCAGAAAAAATATTATTACTTGACATTCTTCAAAGCGGCCCTCAATTCTTCTTTCACGGCTTCGTGCTCCTGACAAATCTTCTTGTACCTATCTTCTGTGTTCCTGTGATCCTCTTGAAGCTTGTTCAACTGCTCAGTCTTGCGTTCGTTTTCCATAGAGTACTGATGTTTGAGCTCCTCCAGTAGTCTGGAAGACATTAAAATAGCCAATAGGGCTCTAAATAAATAAAATAATAATCCTATGTTGACACCTTAATAGAGATACAGAGCTTAAAGAACACGAGAAGATACAGAGCTTAAATAATAAATAAATAAATAAATATAAATATTACCCATACTAAGCGAAGCTTGTACTATGGATACTAGGTAACTGATAAACATACTTAAACGTAATTTTCTTTTGTAAATATATACATACAGTAAGATATTATGCATATATAAACACCGAGACATACACTATGTTCATCATAATTTTTTTTACCAGTGGTGGGGATCGAACCCACACCCTCCGGCGCAAGAGAAAAGGTCACTATCGGCTACGCCAATTGGGCCGTCCAATAAGTAATAAATAATAAGTATGAATAAATAATAAGCAACGCAACATGATGCACAGAACAAATCACATAATGATTTCTTGGATTTACGCGAACAATGTACATTGTTAAAAAAAACGATTCACTTAGATTTCGACGAACCACCTTTTCGTTTCCTACTTACCATATAAAAAATATGGAACTCTTTCCATAGAGAGAGCGCGTTAGAAAGAGGGGGGAGATGGAGAGAGGGAGAGAGAGGGGGGGAGATGGAGAGAGGGAGGGAGATAGAGAGAGGGAGGGAGATGGAGAGAGGGAGGGAGATGGAGAGAGGGAGAAGGAGAGAGAGATAGAGAGAGGGGGGGAGCTGGAGAGAGGAAGAGAGAGGGAGTTCTATCGTACCGTTTGCAATGCTCCAACCGGCGTTCGTGCAGGTCCGCCGGCACGGTCCTGGCCCGCAGAGCGTCCAGCTGCGTTATCTTCCCCGCGGAAGCTTCCAGAGCGTTCTTCACCGCATAGTATTCCCGATGCACCGTCTCGTAGTCGCGCATCATGGCCGCCACTGGCGAAAGATTGCGAAGTATGGTTGAATTAAACTATTTTAGGAGTTTTATGGCTGAACCAGCGACCCGCCCCGGCTGCAATGCCGAATGGTTTACCTCTAAAGTTATCAGAGTTTATTGTATTATGCATGAATTATACATATAAACCTTCCTCTTGAATCATACTATCTATTAAAGAAAACCGCATCAAAATCCTATAAAATAGCTTTAAAGATCAAAGCATATACAGGAAAAGACATTTAGAGATGATGTCATTAACACTTACGCGAGACAGTATCAACAAAATAATAAAACTGGAGCCATAGTAGGAAAAAAACCCCTCAGGCTGTACTCACGTCCAATCGGTGTATTCACCGGCTAGATTTGGAGCTATCTAAGATCTTTCATAAAAGAAACTAAGTACTTTCCATTTTTAGGGCTTCGTACCTAAAGGATAAACGGGACCGTATTACTAAGACTCCGCTGTCTGTCTGTCCGCCTTTCACGAGGCTGTATATCATGAACAGTGTTATTTACATAGATGAAATTTTCTCAGATGATGTATTTCTGTTTACGCTATAAGAACAAATACTAAAAAAACAATAAAAAATATTAAAGTGAGGCTCCCATACAACAGACATGATTTTTTGCCGTTTTTATCGCGTTATAGTATATATATTTATTTGGCCGATTTTTATAACATTTACGCACTGAGACGCCTTTATCTTCCAAAAGATTCCCTATAACTGTCCCAAGATTCACTAAATTATTGTGTTATATGTATGTGTTATATCTCACTTTTATCTTCATACAACTCGTATACTTCCTTCAGCTTCGACTCTGCCCGCTCCGCCCTTTCTGCTAGTGTCGCCTTCTCTATGTCTGCCGTCTCCCTCTCGACTACGATCTTCTTGTAGCTCTGTCTCACTTGCGCCAGCTCGTTCTCTAACGCCTCCAACTTCTCGCTCAACGATTTGTTATCGTCTATGATTTGCTTGGATTTCTTGTTCATATTCTCGAACTGTCTCTCGTAGTCGGCTATTAGGCTGTCCTTTTCTTGGAGATTCTCTTGGTAGGCGTCGAAGAGCGGTGCTGAAAGATGGACGAATATATTTCACACACATTGATACGCTATTTTTGTGGTAGGGCCACTCAGCGGCGTCTGCTAATGCGTGAATGGGCAGGCTCGTCGAGAGAAGTAACTCGTTCTCAGAGAAGTCCGGCGTAAATTGAATAGTTTTGGGAGTGAGGTAACCGGGGCAAACTTTTTTGATGGTTGACAATGTATCCGCGACCAGTTGGGTGTTGTATATGCCCATGGGCAGCGGTTATCAATTAACATCACGTTTTGCATGCATAAATTTCACGTGGACAAACCCAGAACCGAAAGAAATATCTGCGGGTCACACAAATAGTTGTCTCGTGTGAGAATCGAACCCACGCCCCGGCACCGAACTCAATGCCTTGGCAACTGCGCCAAGGAGATAAAATGGGATACGACTTTTCCCTAAATTAGGAAAGAATAGGTATAAATACCGGAATAGTTGGCACATTTTGGTTTTAGATGAGGCTTACATTCAGCAATGGACGGCCATGTTGTTGTTGTAAGTATAATAAATAAATAAATGTAAATAAATATTTCAGGACACATTTTTACACAAAGTTTTCTAGTCACAAAGTAAGAAACGCTTGTACTATGGATAACTGAATAAACAAACACTTTTCTTTTTCATATTTTCTTTCGTAAATAAATACATACTATACATATACAGCGTGTCGTTACAAATGCGACAATAAATGAACACACATATAGAGGACAACTTATTAAATTGTATTAAACAATTACATTCTTTAAACATTAATATTTACCGAGTCATGAAATTTTCCAAAACAAACAATTTTAGAACACCCTTACGTATAAAACTGTAACGTAAAGTTCCTTTGTAAAGGTCACGAAGCATATGAATGAGTTGAATGAATTTAAAAGAGACAAAACATACTGTTGGAAGGACAGGCTTGCAATGCAACGGTGTGGCAACGAATGAAAAAGTCTCTGAATGTATGAATCAGTCAGTTGTAGTTGTATAGGATGTTACTAACTTTATTCCTTTTTTACTTAATTAGTTTTTTTTGAAAAATATCTTTTTCAATTATGGATTTTTTTTTTAAGTTTATATTTTTTTATTATTGGCAAGTAGCGTTAGACGTGTGTTCATTTATTGTCGCGGTTGTAACGACACGCTGTATAAAGCCCCAAACACTGGAAAACCCATATTCATCACACAATGTTTTACCCTTAGTGGGGATCGAACCCACACCCTCTGGCGCAAGAGGCAGGGTCACAACCAAATACGCCAATCGGGTCCTCGACAATAATAGACTTTATTTAATGAATGAATGAATATACTTTATTGCACATAAAAAATAAAACAAAAATTTTAACTAAATGTAGAAGTGATGGGTACAATGGGCGGCCTTATTACTAAGAGTAATTTCTTCCAGGCAACTTTTTTATTTACCAAGTGCTTGTGCACTCAAAAGCCCTGATAGGTCGACCACCCTCGTCTGGCCTTCACCATCTGCCTTCGAAGTGCATCCATCGCCGCTTGCAGATTCTGTAAATTGTTGAACGAAATATAATTTCATCGAAGACAGGCTTGTACCGTCATCTATAAAATTTCAGAAGGTTCAATAATTTATACTGCGGTAGTTACTTTGGTTGCATTGCATTTCTAGCAATAATTGGCGTCATTTAATTCATTTATTTATTGTAAAGAACCACCAACGGAATAACATGTTGTTTTGCAATTAAATATGACAATAGTCTTAGGAACTAAGATTAACATGATTTCACTTAAAGTTTGTAGTTACATGTGCTTCCTTTACACAATTAAATAATTTTTCAAATGACATTTTTACAATGTATAATAAAAATTAGAGATGTCGCCTTAGATTAAAATTTAGTTTATAGCTTTAGTGCTAGTCTCTGCACGTAACATGGAGCTTAAAATGTGTAATACATATATAAATTGTTGAAATATTTGAAAATTCGAGGCGACGCTCTAACAACTAAGCTGATCCCTTGTTGAATAAAACCAAAAAAAAAATAGAAAAGATTCCAACAAAAATGCTCCCGACGCTCTAAGAACCAAACTGAGTCCTTGTTGAACAAAACTAAAAAATCAAAATTGGAAAAAGTCCACAAAAATTCTCCCCGGCGGGGAATCGAACCCCGGTCTCCCGCGTGACAGGCGGGGATACTGACCACTATACTACCGAGGATTACGAAATGTAATCGAAACATCGAACTATATCGTACATTAAATTGCACAAACGTTATCTTGTTCGATAAGATTGGCCTATTTTTTCGCGACGAATCTTTACATATCAAAATATTTCAACTATATCTACTGGGTAACCCCCTTTTTTGCACAGTACAGTGATCAGCCGAAATGTCATATAATTATGTGAATTTATCAATGAAAGTTAACTTATTTTGTAAATTGTTATCAATGAAAGGTGTGTATCTTATTTTGTAAGTATTTATGAATGAAAGGCGTACCGGCATAAAAACAGACTTTCAGTTTTCCGTTGATTATATTACGAGTATTTCAAAACCGTCGGATAAGGATATTAATTATTCGGTGCACATGAATAGATAAATTTTCATGAGAGGCAAAAAATCATATACCTATGTACAAAATAAAAAGTAAAGTAACAGCCCATAAATGTTCCACTGCTGGCAAAGGCCTCCTATGTAAAGAGGATATCAGGGCATAGTCCACCACGCAGCCCTACTGCAGATTGGCGGACTTCACATATTTTCAAAATATATTTTTTTTGTTATTATTTCGAAAATATGCAGGTTTCCTCACGATGTTTTCCTTCACCGCGGAGCACGTGATAAGTCAGCACTTAAAGTTAAAAACTTCATTGGTGCCGGCACCGGGGATCGAACTCAGGTTGCTCGAGTATATTGAATTAAAGGCGAGCGCCCGGACACTGAGTTGTATGTAATCTTATATATAAAATTTTCGTGTCACGGTGTTTGTAATTGAACTCCTCCGAAACGGCTCGACCCATTTTCGTGAAATTTTTTGTGCATATCGGCCAGGGTGTGCGAAAAATAGATGTGCGATTCTCCGCACATCTATTTTTCATCCCCCTAAATGTAAAAGGGTGGTTCACCCCAAAACATTTTTTTGTACCCTACAAATAATTTATATGGCAAAACAACGTTTGCCGGGTCAGCTAGTTGTATATAAATTTGAATTTACCCCGTCTATGACCCAAACTCGCGTTGATAAGCGAGTCCAGACATTCGAGCTTGTCCGCCGCCTTGCCCTCCGCGGTCAATGTGGGCAAGTTGCTGCGCAGTTTCTCCTGATAGCGGGACAGCTGTACGTTGAGCCTGGAAAGTATGGAACGACGACGTCGTGTTATAACTAAGCCTTCTGCTAGCCATGCCTATCGCCACGACGTCATTACACTACGGCGTAATGTAATGGCGTCGTGGCGATATGATCCGATGGAATTAACCGATGATACCGTACGAACCTATAATATATAATTCTTTATGTAAAATTTGACGATTCATTAGAACGCGCAAGCGTCTATTTGAATAAATATATTTTCGATTTTGATTTTGAACGATTAGAGATCTTCATTTATCTTTATCCTAAGACAACGAAACGTAAGGAAGCGGCTTCCGCTGGTGCAAGAATGGGCAAGCTCGTCCGGGGAAGTACCGTAAGACCGCTGAGACGTGGAATATTTATTTATCCGCCTTTCTTTTTGAAGTTTTCAAGAAAATAGAATTTTTTTTATGGAAAACGAGTTGGCGGGTCGCCTAAAGGTGTGCGTGAAGTATAAAGTGATCTTTACCGCTCATGGACCCTCGCAACACCGGAATCCCAAATGCATTGTTGGCCTAAGATTTAGATATAGCCTTCTTCTTAAAAGCCGGACGGTCCGGATATACCGGTGGCGCCAACTGATTTTACTGCAAATTGGTCGTGCGTAGCAGAAAATTGTGTGAAAAACAAACAGTAACTTGCCAACCATCGGGGCGATGTAGTATTTAGCGGTATAACGAGTAATACGTTGGTGAAACTCGACATTAGGTACTAATTTGAACAATTCATCAGAGCACTCCACGTAATAAAAACAGAAATGCAGAGACGAAACCCCTCTTCACGAGACACAAAAGCCAAGGAAGCTCTGTTGCTTGGCCCTACCACAGTAGACTTAACCTAGGCCGTCCGGGTATTATTATCTGTTGGTCACACAAGTAGTCTCGTGTGGGAAACGAATTCTCGACCTTCGGCGGGGAAGCCAATAAGTTGGCAACTGCGCCGCGGAGTCGTCATGGAGCACAAGTCCTTAAACATTGCGGTATTACATTTTTGTACCTGTACAGAACGTCTTTGAGCGCTTGCATGTCCTTCTGCAGCCTGCAGTTCTGCTCACGGGCCTGGTTCAGAACAATCTGCCTGCTGCTGCAGCTCATGCAGAACTCCACGAGCGGCACCACCGCAGGTGGTTCCCGTTGCTCTGCAATTCAATGTTCTTAATAAGAAATTCAATATTCTTAATCATCATCTTCCTGCCCCTATCACCTACGTGGGGCCGGCACAACACGTGGATCATGTTGTAAGCATTTTTGGCTGTGTTTTTTACGACCGACAGCCGGCCTGACATCAATCCTCCTTGGTAAACAAACACCCAGATACGCAGCAATTATCTGTGGGTCACTCAAATACTTGTACTGTGTGGGAATCGAACCCACGACCCCCGACGCCGAAGCCAATAAATAGCTTAGCAACGGCGCGGACTTTAAAAAAAATTCGCAACACCAAGTGTTGTCAATTAGCTCTACAGCATTAAATTCTTGAAATACTTAAAAGGTTCCAATTGACGTATAAAAGAATTTAAAATTAGTTGGAGTCTTATTAAATAAATAAATATTTTAGGACACACAAAGTTATCTAGTCCCAAGCTGAGCAACTTATCTAGTCCCCATAGTACAAACGTTAAAATACGGGTACTAGATAGCTCATAAATATACTTAAACATACCATCTTTACTTTTTTAAATTCATTGCGGTCATTATTACTTTAAGCTTGTTATTAAGCTATATTACCTTTATCTGGTATTTCGAACTGTTTGACTCTCCCCTCCAAATTCCTACATCTGCCCTCTAGATCCGCGTTCAACTGCCTCTCCTCTTTTATCACCCGCTTGCACTCCTCCGCGTACTTCACCAGCGTGGCGTGCTCGCACTTGAGACGATCGCTCTCGGTCGCGAATAACTTGTTATATTCCAGTATTGTTTTGAGCTTCTCTTTCAACTTTGCTATGTGCGCGTCTTTCTCCGTCATCTGAAACGGAGGAAGCATAATTTAAGTACAGTTAGCTGGGCAAGTTGGGCGCAAGCATCGTCGTTCGGAAAGTTACCGCTTAATAGTGCGAACAATAAAGTTGTTTACAACTGTACACCGACAAGTAATGTGAACAGGACGGATAGCGATCATAATACTATAGGTGCGCAATTAAAGAACTATTCAAATATTTAAGGTAACAAATATGCATATTTTTATTTATTCGAGAGATTGACCCAAACTTTTGTGACCGCCAAACGTTCATAATACGTAGGTGAAATAATAAAAAAGGAAAAAAAAAGGAACTAATAACTTATATCGTTTAAAGAACACTACGTTATTAATATCGTGAAGTTCACACTAAGATATAGAAGAAATATAACAATGGGCCTTATGGGCCGTGATAGCTCAGTGTCCGGCCGCTCGCCTTTAATTATCTCGCATTTACTCGAGCAACCTGGGTTCGATCCCCGGTACCAGCACCAGTGAAATTGTTAATTTTAAGTGCTGAATTATCACGTGGTCTTCCATCATCATAATCATCACATAAATATGACAGTCCACTTTTGGACATAAGAGTTTCCCAAAGGAATCCAAATACTTTAACTTAGTTTTTGCACAAAATTATCAAATTTAGTTTTTAAAATGGTTTTTTATTAGATTTTGTTGTTTTTTATAAGTACCTAATTTACTGTTGCAATTATTAATTGGATTTCTTTCTTAGGATTGTCTAAGGTTGATTAATATGTATAATAATATCTGATCAAAAAGTGTTAATCATGGTAGCTTGTTTCAGTACTAAATACAAAAAATATAATCGGTATCAAATTCAACCAGTTCTATAAAATGTTAAAAAAAAAAAAACAAAAATGTATATTACCGCTACAACATTCTCTTCACATCTATCCATCAGAGCTGTTATAAGACGCTCATACTTCTTACTGAGTTTCTTTTTCTGCTCCCGTAGCAAATGTTTGCCATCTTTGCCTGTTTGTGTTTTGTTAGCCACAGCTCCATGTATATTGCGTTTTCTGGGAGGCTTTGCTGGTCTTTCCACTAATAATTATAAACTATATTACGAAAGAGAACATGAAAATAAAATACAAAGATTTTTACACAAAATATAGAACAGTTTATGGCTGTCCATATTCCATTAAACTTCATTATTTTTAATTTTAATTCTGTTTATTTTTAATTTTAATTTCAACTTGGAATTAAAATTAAAAATAAAAGCGATAAATCAGTAAAATGAAACTCATTTGTTCCAACTTATTTAAATCCCCAAATGTGACATATGTTTAGAGAGATTTTGTAGAACACAATTATGAGGCAGTCATTTTTTAATACAAAACATTATGAAATATAGCTTGTTTTAGACAGATTTTTCAACCAAAACAATGTTCATTCACACATGAGTGTAATCATATAGGTGGTTGCAGTTACAAAATTATTTATTAACATTAACTTAATCAGGAGACTAAGACTATTGATAAAGAAAAAATACACAATTATAATGCTTGACTGTACCTATTAAATCCCTTGGGTCCTCATATAAAGGATTGCTATTGGGCAAATTCTCAATACCCCTCCGCCGTTGCATTTGAGACTCAGTCCTTTCCATCACAGTATTTAAAATGTCCAAGCGTAAGCTATTCTTTTCCTCTTCAGATATATAAAAGTTCTGGTTTTGTGGTGTGAAGTTGCCAGTGAATGTTAACTTTTTTGGACTGGTCTTGGGTGTACATTTTGCTTTAGCACGAGTTGATACCTATGTCATTAATAACATGCTCTTAAAATTTATCATTACAGTGTATTTGCCTAATTCCCAATTATTAATTTACTTGTAAGGCCCATAAATAATTTTATATCTTTACTAATTTAATCTTTATTGCAATAACAGAAGTACTCAATCATGTAGTGTAGGTACACAACAGTTTCTGCTGTTGCATGAATGGGCGAGAAGTACCACAGCCTCACAGAAGACTGGTATGTAGTGTGAGGCCCACTTTTTGACAACACATCTAAAAGCCCCCGGGATTTGTAGATGTTCATGGGCGATGGTATTCACTTATCATCAGGTGAACCGTGAGGTTGGGACTTTGAAGCTTCTAAAGCACTGTTATGCTAAAACTACTATCAATATACCAGTGAAATAGGATGATATTTATAAATAATATAAGACACCTATATTAAATATTTTTTAATTCACTGTTAATAGTGACAAAATGAGTTATCACTATTTTAAATTTCTGCTAGTCAGCTAAAAAGCAACATACAGTGCATTAACTTTATTTAAAATACATACTATTGGAGAAAAATGAACATAATCATCGTCCATTTTCAGCTTTCTGTTAATGTTTCAATTAATGCTGTTGTTAAATTATCCATCTCGTAACTAAAAATTACGTTTCTGTAATATTGATAAGAAATTAAAATTTTCTTATCCCAATTTACCAAACAAAGTAAAAGGTTAGTAGGTCAAGCCACGGTCCCAATAAACGTAAACATGTGCAAATATATCGACAAATCCGCACTATATTAAGGTATTTGTTATTGATTTCGAGTTATCAAATAATGTTTATCCCATTATTATATAATTGGAAACGAACTTTTGAAGATTTTGTGAAATATATTAAAATAATAGATTCTGAATGTTATTCAATTGATGTTTTTATTTGAAATATCTATAGAAAAAGAAACTTATGCCTGAACAATTTTTAAAACATCTTGTTTGACAATTTTGACGTTGCTATGGAAACGAAGATGTTTTTTATAAATTGTTAACGGCTCTGGACTCGCGTCTTTTAGGCCAAGAAAATAAAGATTAACAAAGACGTGTTAAAACTTAAGGCGGAAAAGAATTTAGTTTTAAAATCACGATTTCTCTTTAATTAAAATAATTAGTAGAAAATAACAGCTAAACATTAAATATTAAACTGGGTTATGAAATTGGGTTATTTTAAAGAAATTGTTATTTATTTTCACTAAAAACAATAATTCACAAAAATTTATTGCTTAAATGAATGACGTGAAACTTATTTCAAATAAATATATTTTATATGATACTATCATTTTTCTATTTTGAATAAAAATTCTAGTGAACTAAGCATTTTAGTTCTTTAAAGATCTTGTAGAAAGCATTAAAACACATTGAGACAATGACTGTACAGCTAAATAGAAATGTTCTTTACTGGAGAGTGATTATTGATTTTTAAAGACATTCAAAGTTAGTCGCATAAACCAGAGCGTGCGCGGAAACAGCTGAGCGAAAACAGCGACAGTGCGGCTCAAACAAGAACTAGAAGGCAGTCGCATCATGTCTACCTGCCGGTTTGGTGTATGATACGCGGTGGATTTGATAACCTAAAACACTGTTGTCACTCCGTCCTTTCGAATTTGGAACCCTTTTTAGTTAATTATACGTTATAAATAAGTTCAATTAAGTGTAAAATAGTGAATTACCTGCGATTACAAATTCAAAATACGTGTAACCGTATCTTTAGTGAGTTTTGTACGTTTATCGATTTTTTTTTAAATTTACAATGAGCGTAAAGTTCTGTTTATTTTTTATTTTCGTGTAACAATAAAGTACATAAATAATATGATAAGCATAATTCGACGCTAGTGTGTGCAGTGTTTCGATTCAATTATGTGCGAGAGTTCGCGCGAGACTGCTTGTTTTGGATGACAAAAACATGGAATTCGAGAACGATTTCAGCTTGAAAGAATGGGCGAAGGACAAGCCTTTGTCCATTCTGCAACTGGATCCGGCAGACCGTGCCGTTTTGAGGATAGCAGGTTAGTTACAAACCTTGTAAAATGCGTCGCAATTGGTCTTGATTTTTGTACATCTAACATCGCGCATTCCTGACATTTTCACACATAACATAATCAGGTCATGTTATCATGCAAGATAGTGACGACAGTTAAGATTTATATCGGTGTAAACACGTAAAGTAATTACTGTTACGAAATATTCGCGATCGATTTTAAACGTTATTTACGCGTGTACTTATATATTATTAAATTAAGTCTATTTTCACTTTAGTTCTATATGAAGAACGCCGCACCGGCACATACTAGAATATTACGTTAAAGTACGGTACGCAAAGTTTTGTCCCTTTTTTATATTGTAGTGTGGTCGGGTGAGCCGGTTTTTGTCCAATCCTGCTAGATCCCTTTGTATGCGACTACTTCCCACGATTCAGTTGCGTAGATGCGCTTATCTATTTTTAATAACTTTCAATAATAACCGCCCATGATGCATGGTGCATTAAACGGCCCGTAAACACCATCAGTTGAGTGTTATTATTTTAAGATCATAAATAAATTGACTTATTACTTGACGTACCGAGTTAAGATAATAAAAAAGCAAGCAAAAATTGTGCTGTAAGGTGGTAAAATTATCTCTGAAATCCTAGTCGATAAACTAAAAGTGACATAGCCGGCAGAAGTATTTTATTTAATGTGAAGAATTGGAATTTTATCAACATTTCTACGGGGTTATTTTAAAATTAACCCCTTTATTAGAGGAACTTCCCAAACATGCGTCGATTAAAAGTTTATTTTATTCTTTCATCTTCATGCACAAAATATATGTAAGTGCTAACAGCATAATTTAATTGAAAATACGCAAAATTCAAAGGCATGATATATGAAGATTGTAATGAATTAAATAAAATTAATCAGATTATCGAACACTAAGCTTATTAAATTAAATTAAAATATATTTTGTTGCCATCAGAAAATGCTTCACAATTTCGTATCGCGTTCCATAAATCAATTCACAATTTTTGTTATACCGATAAGACCAAGAAAACTTAATTCAACGAATAAATTTTATCTTTATTACAAGCTACACAATCCATCTCCAAGACTTAATGTATCCCACAATTTGCGCTTAATAGCTGTTGTACAAATGTAATGTATCTAGTCGTGCACGGCGCCCGTGAAAATCGATTTTACTTAGTGCCAACACGATACCACGTAATATTACGTATAGTGATGATTTATATGGCTCAGTATCGTGCTTCGTGGCGGTCTGTGGGGGAGGCCTTTGTTCAGCAGTGGACTCAAACAGGCTGAAATGATGATGATGATGAATCAGGAGCAAAGAATTGGGTGTATGAATAGTCCTATGATAATAAATAAATGTTCACGCTGAACGAGAGGTGTAGTCTGTTGCGGTCTTTATTTTCCTTTTTTATTTTTCTTTATTCATCACCATTCTCCTGCTCTTAACCCACCTTGGTGGGGTCGGCACAGCATGTGAATCACTTTGTAAGTGTTTTTGGCTATTTTTTTACGACTGACCGCCTGCCTGTCGTCAAATCTCCTTGGGAAGGAAGCACCTAGATCCAGGACAATTATTTGTGAGTCACACAGATACTTGTCCCGTATGTGAATCGAACCCACGACCCGAGACGCCGAAGCCGATAGCTTAGCAACGGCGCCATCGAGTCAATCTTTTATTTTTCTTTATTACCTTCCCAAATCTGTCGCTTCCTCTTCATCTGTCAACGGCTATGCTAATTTGCAATATATTATGCTATGTTATAATATTTTAAAATCACAATTTTCTTATACGTTAGACTGTTCTTTAATTTAATTTTAGATCAGTTCTTTAAAAGGGTTTTCGCGACTTTCAATTTTTTTTTTGTCCATAGTATTGTACCTATTGTAGTAATATTTTTATAGTATTTATTTATTCTGGACCGACATAGCTCGCGATATTGGCGTGCGATGTAGCGAAGCATAATGGGAAACGTTAATGTCTTTGTTGAAATGGTAACGGTTTTAAAAGGTTCCCCTTTGTTAACATCATACCCTATTTCTTATTTCCCTTTAGATATTCTAAGAAAACAAGAAGATGTGTTTTGTAACACCAATTTAAATATTTCGCAGAAACGCTTTGTACTGATAAACGAAATTCACCGAAAACGGGTAGAATTTATACACTACACACAATTTCGTCTGCCAGTAGATGGAATATTCATGTAGACATTTAGTCTCATCGGATGTCGAAACAACAATCTCATAGAGAATGTTCAGGGTAACTCATCAGCGAAAACGATCAGCGTGCAACGCGTCTAGTAAATGCGCTAGACGCATCTAGACGCAAAGTTATGAGGCAGAGAGGTGTGCCTTAATATATTTTACGATTCTAGTGTATTCGTGACTCGTTTCACAGAACTGTTTCATATCGTCAGTTGTCCCGTTATTATAATCGGTATAATGTGTCTGAAAGGAAACAATGAATAGGTTGTTATTGAGCTGGTGTGTTCACTGTACAATATTACCTACATCTTGACTTACTATCAGGTGAGACGTACCTAGTCAATCAAGGGGTGGTTTTTGGGTGAAAAGAAAAGAAAACAAAAAAAGCATCTTTACACATCTATATGTGTCGTACACATAATATACATATACTAGCGACCCGCCCCGGCTTCGCACGGGTGCAATGTAATATACATATAAACCTTCATCGCATCAAGATACGTTGCGTAGTTTTAAAGATCTAAGCATACATAGGGACTGACAGACAACTTTGGTTTATACTATGTAGTGGTTATGTGTACAAAATACAATGCACATATTGATGTTTGAGTGAAAAAAAAATGTGTTATTGAAAAATATTGCAATCAGACCCATGAGCTAAGGTTACGGATACATATTTATTATTATTACAGGATTACGGGCTTCTGTTTCTTTTTAACCGACTTCAAAAGGAGGAGGTTCTCAATTCAACTGTATTTTTTTATGTTTGTCGATGACACGATAAAATAATTTTATCGTGTCATCGAAGTATTTGGACTTGACATGTCGATTATTTTGTAATTTGTTCTTTTTTAATTTGTCTCGCGTTTCAACATTCAATGTATCAACTCAAACAGAATCCAGGGCTACGCTGGGCATTTAGACTGTAAATTTATTTAGACTAAAGATTTCCTAGGGTTTAAGTTTTCCATTTCTATGTTGGCACTTCACCATTTAGCATCGGAGCTGTATGGTAGCATGGAGCCGTGTTAGCTCAGTGTCGGGGCGCACGCCTTTAATTCAATATACTCTAGCAACCTGAGTTCGATCCCCGGTGCCGGCACCAATGAAATTTTTAATTTCAAGTTCTGTCTTATAACGTGCTCAGCGGTGAAGGAAAACATCGTGAGGAAACCTGCATATTTTCGAACTAATAACAAAAAAAAATATTTCGAAGATATGTGAAGTCCGCCTATCCCCAGTGGGGCCGCAAGGTGGACTATGCCTTGATACTCTCTGTACAGAGGAGGCCTTTGCCCAGCTGTGGCTTATAGCAACTAGCAAATATGTGATTGTAAAAAA